GAGGGACACCGGCTCCGCTACAGCCGGTCCCTCGGCGGTGGCAGTGTTGCAACAGGCACTGGTTATAGAGGCGTCGCGTCCGTCCCGGCCGTGCCGCTCCCGCAGCGCTTCCTGCAGGCGGGGGGGGTCAGTCGGTGCCATATTGTCAGTGGCGCAGCGGCAGGATTTTCCCTGCCTCCTCGTACGCGGTCTGCCGCCTTTTCACTCACTGCATGTGAACTTGTTACCAGGAAAACCGGTGTTAAAAGTGTTCTGTTTTTTTTCCTTTCAGTAACTGGAATGAGTCCTTTGTCCCCGTATTTAAACTTGGACCCCAGGTATCTTGTACAGGTGAGAAGGCAGCTTTGTTTTTTTATTGTGTTGAACTCAATTCCATTGTTCGTGTGGTCATATGTGGAGACTTCAGAAGCCCTGTGGTGCTGTGCAGCGTATACTAAAGTCTCGAACTGATGAACAGTTGAAAGGAATGATATTTTCAGTGTTGTTCCTTAATAAAAGCCATGGCTTCTACAAGAAGAAAACCAGTTTTAATTTAGAGGGTAAGTAAGACTGCTGTGTCCATATAAGCCTGCTGCTGTTGAAAAGGGAGGTCTGCTTCCCTGCTTTTAGGCACACAGCTCAAGCACACCCTTGCACAAGTTCTGGCATTTGTCACACCCTCCACTGAGCCGCTTCAATCGGTAAGAGCAGCCAGAAGCTCTCCACTCCTTTGATGGGTTAGCTCTCTGTACTGTGATGAGTTTGATCAGTTTGCTTGATCTCTTTCACTAGAAGCAGTTGTAGCCAAGATTACAACACAACATTCCCATAGTGGTAGAAAACAGAGGATACGCCTAGCGTGATTTTCTTGTGGTGGTGTTGAGTGGTCAAAAAAATGCCAAGTGTTTTTTTATATCTCTCCCAAAAATACCTTCTAAAGTTGTCTTGTTTAGTTAGTACAGTATATCTGGGAACATGTTGATGTTAAAAATCAACAACTCTGTAACAGAGTTTTTGGAATAATGTGTATGCTAACAGATTATTTTAAAATAATCTTGCTTTAAAAGAAAAGGTCATAAATAATTTATAAAAATACCTATTGACGTAGCAATTCTCTATGCTTAGCACTAGCAAGTACATTGAAATGAAAGGGAATTCCTTTTAAATGTGAGAATATTTTTTTTCACATGAATAAGTTGCCCAGACAAGGTGTGGGGTCTCTCTCCGTGGACATGTGCAAAACCCGTGTACAGCCCTGATTAACCAGCACTACCTGACCCTGCTTTGAGACTAAATAGTCTCCACAGGTCTCTGGCAACCTTCACCTCTCTGTGATTCTAAAAATTCAAGGAAAAAAAAAGTAGCTGTTATTTTAAAATGCAGGAAATTATTAGCCTTTAAAATTGGTTTGTCTGTGAAGATGTGCTTGGAGGGCTGAGGGTCTCCTGTATTAAAGACCATCCATTTGCTTTCAGACTGCAGACAGAAAGTCAGCCTTAGTGTTGAGAATCTTACGTTTTGATCCTGGCTTTCCCGTAACAACGAATGCTACAGTGGTACTCAGGACTTTAAAAACCACTCTCTTTGTGGGTTTTAGTCCATTAATTCAGGCACAGACCAATGTGTTGTTGGCAAAGTGTTTGTTACCTTCAGGAGGTATCCGTTATACAATAACCTGCCAGCCTTTGTCACAAACCGAGAGGTTGGGCTTCCTAGGTGGTTGTCTCTATGGAAACATAGAGGTTATACACAGACAGCGATTGCTTCATCTTGACTTTTTCAACAATAGTGAAAACTGTAAGAAACTGCTAACAACACACTGCATTTCTCCAAATACCTTGTTACAGGGAAGGTAGAAACCATATTGTAAGTCCAGTTTATTAATAAAGTATTCACAATTTAGGAAAGCTGTATATTTTTTTCTGTATTGCTGTCCACGTTTAGTGCCAAGTGTGGACTAAGAAAACCCCTTAGAATACAATTACTTGAGCCTGCAGTTGTTGTGGTCATGTATCAGCTAAATGTTGGGGGTTACACCACTTAGATATACACAAGTCTATGGGATGAGTGTCAGGAGGAAGGAGCCAGGCTCTTCTCAGTGAAAGCCACTGACAGGACAAGGGGCAATGGGTGCAAACTGGAGCATAGGAGGTTCAACCTGAACATGAGGAAAAACTTTTTTACTGTGAGGGTGACAGAGCATGGCCCAGGCTGCCCAGAGAGGTTGTGGAGTCTCCTTCTCTGCAGACATTCAAAACCCGCCTGGCTGTGTTCCTGTGTGACCTGGTCTGGGTGATCCTGCTCTGGCAGGGGTTGGACTGGATGAGCTTTTGAGGTCCCTTCCAACTCCTAAGATTCTGTGATTCTGTGAATAATACTGTGGAAAGCACAGAAGCATAAAAAGAAACCTTTATCACCTTATCAACACGTGTGCATCTTGTCAGTGTCTTCTACTGAAAAAGTGCTTTGGGACACCTTATCTCTACACATGTGCTAGTTCTCAGCCCATTTCTCTAGCTTTTTAGATCAATCTGATTTAGGAGAACACAAGCCTGTCACTGTGAAAGATGTGCAACTGAAAAACTTCCAACCTCACATATTTCATGCCTGGTCGTCACTAGGTTTGGGTGTATTCCTAGTTTTTTCATGTCTTCAAAATAGGTCACTTATTTCAGTGCAAGGAAATACTTCTTTCAGTACAAAGGCAGTGTCAGAATAGCGAGAAACCAGAATGCATTACTGCATCAGGTCGCTCAGTGAGAAACGGCATAATCAGACCACTGGGATATTTTTAGAGGGCAGTGAGTCTTGTATTGCCTGCTGCAAGATATAGTAAATAAGCAAATAGTCATTAAAAAAAGAAACATACCAACGAGCCACAGAGTAGGAGTTCCTTGACTGCCGTATGTAATTTATGAAAAGTTAGAACAGCTAGAGGGGGAAAAAAAGCTCTCAGTTAATCTTTTTAAAGTTTTTCTCTTCGTTCTTATTAAAGTATACATGTAATATATTTCATCGCTGTGTTAGTGTAGACAGCTTTTCCAGAAACACTGGTTTAATCTGTTTGGGTTTTGGTTTTTTCTTTAGTTCATTGTTTGGATTAAAGTAAACAAAACAATGTGGCCTACATTTTGAAGCAGGTACACTTAGAAAATACAAAGGTGTATGTTTGTTTTCTCTTTCTCCAGGATACAGATGAGTTCATCTTGCCCACAGGAGCCAACAAAACTCGAGGCAGATTTGAGCTGGCCTTTTTTACCATTGGAGGATGTTGTATGACAGGTAGGCGGATGTGTTTTCCACTTTTCCCAGCTGTCCAGGTAACACCTAGGTACTGCGGTACTTGACAAGACTGTAAATGTCTTGTTCTGCAATCCAGTCTGACATAAACAGCTACTTGACTTCAAGCTGTACTTTGAAGTCTATTCTCATTGTTTTCTTCTAGTCTTGTTCTTTTTGTTCCTTTTCCTTAAAAAGCAATAACTGATGTTATGCTAACTAGGGGCAGCATTTGGTGCGCTGAATGGTTTGCGGCTTGGCTTGAAGGAGACGCAGAATATGGCATGGTCAAAACCTAGAAATGTACAGTAAGTGTTTAACCTCAAACAAAAGTACACCTTAGTGACAGAGCTTGTACAGAGTCAGGTCTGAATATGCTGCAGAAGTGAATCTGGTTTTGTCCTTTTAGTGGAGGCAAATGGGAGTCAGTGTTTGTCTTCATCAAGTTAGGAAATGTTTTTAGTTAAAATGATGTTCAATGTTTTCAGTTATAATGATGTTCAGTTCAAGTTTTCATCTAGTGACAGTTGGTATATCCTCTGACTTACCTTTAATATTTGAGAATAAATTACTACTTTGATATTTACTAGAAATCTACTTCAAAGTCAGGACAGTGTTTTTATATATTGAAGCATTCTCAGTAGAAGCACCATTTGGTTTGAGCTATTTTTTGCTGTGAGTTACCTGAGAGCAAGTTCTCTCTTCTTTTCCAAACTTTCCAAAAGCAGAAAGAGATTAAAATGCAGAGGCTGTGCCTGCCTGGATTTGCATTAAGGCTGACATGGGTGCTTGCTGCTGAGCAAGTGTTGCATGGTGGAAGATGTTCTGGATTAGTGTCCAAATGCCCGTGGCATTCCCATCTTTTCACCTCACCCAATTGTTTCAAAGAATGTAGTAAAGATAGGAACACTTTTTTTTCCTGCACTGTGCTTCTCCTCCTAGAATTAATTGGTACATTAGACATAATTATAAGAAAACTTAAGTCCCTGTGACGGAGACATAGGAAAGCAGAGGAGTGAAATAACTGAAGGAAACTATTTTCAGTCTCCCAGAATACTTTGGGAAACAGACATTTTAGAGGAGGAGTTTATTATTTCCCAGTTTATCCTAGAAAATAGACAGTTTATACTAGCTCTGCTCCTTTTAAAATAATTTCTATATTCTTCATCCTCTTCTTTACCATCTTTAGAATTAAAGATAGAGCCAAAGTATTCCCTGCTGTATTTATGACTTTTCCATAATGCTCTAGGTGAACAGAATTGTGTTGGTGCATTCAGAATGAGCCGAGGCAGACAGAAGCATGTTGTTAGGCGCAGAGTTTGGTGGGTCGAGCCCAGCAGGTGGCAGACAAGGCACACGTCGCTGTTAGTCCTTGCCCTTCAAGGGAAAAGGCCTGTTGAAGGTCCTCACCTTGAAACAGGGTATTAAGTACCATGTTTTCCTAATCAGATACAGGGAAGAGACTTGCCGAGCTAGATTTCCTTCAAATTTATCCTTAATGTACACAGATATTTTTTTTCTAATTAATTAGAATTTTTCTGGTAATTCCTTGTCATCAAATATTTCACAGTATGTCATGGTTTTTAAAATTAAGAATTTTCTCATCAGAATTAATGTAATGTTAACAAAGTGTGAGTGGGGGTTGTAATTAGGGGGAAGTTGTCAATACCCTACCCTCTTGGATTTTTTTTCTCTGGTTCCAAAGTGATGTTTTCCATTATTGTTTACTTCGTTACCTAACCATATTCAGTAATGGCCTCCTGATGAAAATTATTGTAAAGGAAAGGTAGTGGAAGAGGGACTCAAACCAGGAGAAACATATCGTGTGACACTTTCACCGCTTCACATGATAAACTAAGTTCCAGTGATAGTCAGCTGTCCAGAGCAGTGCTATGCCTGTGATAGTGTTACAGTGCTGGGAGATAAAGATCAGTCATTTCTCCTGGCTGCTGTTGTCACCCTTCTGGAGACAGCTGATGCCAGAAAGAAGTGGCATTGTGCTTCCCTGAGAGTGCACTAAAGATCTGCTTTTCCTCTTTAGTGCTAGTCTGGAAGCATACATACAGAAATGCTCCGGGTATTTCACCCGGTGTCAGGTGCTAAGTTTGACAGAGAGAAGTGCAGAAGACTGTCTCTTTTCTTTCTGACCTGCTTTGGTTCAGACTTGCTTTTATTACCCGCCCCATTTGGTCAAGCATCACCGTGCTCCCTGACACCCCGTATTGCTTGCACCTTCTAGAAGAGCACTCTGGCTTTCTGGGAGCTCTTTTACCCAGTTAAGTCAGCATAAGCATATCAGTCATTCTCAGTAGCTACCTGTGGTCACCATGTCAGGAACATTTATCTACTAGGGTTAGAAAGTCATTTGAAGGGAAGGGACTGGATTCTCGGTAAGGTTCAAGTTGTACATGAAAAGAGAGAGATTTTCTTAAGACTTGACAAAACTAAATGTTTGCCTTAAGTATTGCATGCATTACTGTAATAATACTTTATAATAATATTTTTAAATAATACATTAATATAACAATACTTTTCCTTAGTGTTTTGTTTCGAGTGGCTTTTGGTTCATTATTCCAGTTTCATTAATCAAATGTATAGTGTAAACACATCATGCCTACTATAATAAACACTACCTCAAGGTAAACAGAGAACTGGAAGTTTTAATACCTTTTTAACTCCTTTATAGAATTCTAAATATGGTGACAAGGCAAGGAGCATTATGGGCTAACACTCTGGGATCTCTGGGTAAGTGAATTAGTTATTTTGTAAGAAAACCAATTTAGATGTGACTGAAGAGAAAATGTATTCTCTAAATTTTCATTATGAAATCCATCAGGAAAACCTGGAGTTGTTTGGGGGTTTGTTTGGTTTTTTTCCTTTGGAACATGAGGGCATTTCAGTAGACATCAAAAATGAAATTAAAGGCTGAAATAGGATTTAAAGCATAAGTAGCCAAAAGGCTGTAATTAGACACCAAGTTTTTTAGTATATTACAAACATGAGCTCTAGCAATGGAACAACAGGAATAACTGAAAATTATTGGTAATACTTACTTGTTAATAAATTCCAATTAATTCAAAATTCATAATTGAATCCTTCTGAAATAACTGATAACCTAAGAAGAAACTCAGGGCCGTGTGAGCAACAGCCTGATGTCTGTGTCCCGTTAAAAAAGCAATCAACAAAATGTTTATCTGTAGAAGAGCTCTTGTAGTGACTACGAAGATTTATCCTTTTTTGATGGTAGCTTAGCTAGAAAAACCGCATACTTTAAATCTAAACATTGCAAGAGCAAATGGTGCTCAGTTACTTTGAGAGAAATCCAAAACTGATGAAATTATTTTGAAGATTAATGGTGGAACTCATTGCCCCACAAAGTGGTAATAGAAGAGAAGTTAGCAATATTTAAATCTTGTATACATCTTGTGTAACCCAGTCTACGTATATTTGAATTTTGAAAAAGACATCAGAGCATAGGCTAAGTTGCATTTACTGCATTTTGTTTCAGTCTTATTTCTGAAGAGTAGATTAGTTTGCCATTTAACTCAGACATCAGCTTTTGAGGCATAATATAGAGACCATGGTCAGAGATGGGGTTCTGAACTACAGTGAGAACAGCACTTTTCATGAGAGATGCGTATTTCCTGGTGAGTTTTATGGTGGGATGGTTTTTTGGGGTTGTTTCTTCTTTTAAATTTATTTTCTATTTCAAGTCTCGTCAAAACATGTCTGAAAACTGAGATGCAGGTACACTCCAGTTCAGGGTTCCAGGTTAAGTGATACATTAACAGGTTTTTGCAGCTGTGTTTGAAGAAAGATTACTCAAGAAAATGTTTGTGCAGTTCAGTAATAAATTGTTTTCTTATGAAGTGTGACCTCCCAAGTCACAGAGTTACGCAGGATTTAATATTTTGGGATTTGGTATAGCTCTGTCCTGTCCTAGCTACCAGAGAAGTTCCTTTCAAGGAGCGGAAGTATTTTTGCATCTTATTTCACTTGTCCAGCATTTCTGTACCTCAAAGATAACTTCTGTCACTGCTGACAATTTTTGTCAGTCTGTTCCTGAACAGAGGTAGCAATATCTGTGTTAAACTATCTTATAAAATGTTGAAAGCAGCTTTTCCTTCCCCTCGTTGTTAGTATTGTGTGCTTCTAAGACAAGGTAAAATACCAGTGCCTGTGCTGAGTGGAGAAAGATGCTCCTGTTCGACTCACATCAATGCGGCTGCTTATGAAGGATTTACATGCTTTTTAGTAGAAGTAAAGATTTCAAACTCTTGGAGGACAAGGGACGAATTCAAGTGACATGGTGTCTTTATAACTTCAAAATGATGACACACTCTACTGTTCTTTGTCAGCATGAAATTTGGTTGTGTCATGAGGGGTGAGGGCAAGGGTGCCTTCTGCCTTCGTCAGAATGCATAGATTATCCAGGCATCTGTACTGAAAGCCCATGCACGTCTCTTTCTAATCCTTTCTGCCGCAGTCGCCCACACTCCCAAAGCGAAAGGCCCTTCAGGGACACAGTTATCATATGCAGGCAGAGGTGAAGCAGCTGTAAATGTCAAATCCCAAGCACTCTAACAGTCACTTATGAGGGAATTGTAGCCCATTGTACTCCAGCCCTTGATAACATGGTCTAAATGCTGCACTTAACTTGCATTTCATCTCAGTCACACGTGGGCAATAATTTTCTCTGCTACCTAGAAAGTGTTACTGAGTTTAGTTTCATGCCATCCACAGAAGACAGGATAAAGCCTGCCAGTACAAAGTTAAGCCCTCAAAAGCTTTTTATATTTGAACTAGTGAAATGGGTTTAAACTTCAGTCAGTGTTATACATCACAGATTTATCGTGTCTCGAGGTAGTACTAGATGTCATGAAGAATGCTACTTTATAAACTTTACAACCAAATTATAGCTAGACAAGAATTATCTGTAAAATAGAAATAGGTCTGGGAAAAACCAGCAGAGACAGGATTTGGCAGAGGATTTCCCCCTGCTTTAAAATAAACGGGAAACCTGTGCTTTGGAAGCATAGTCTAAATAGTTACACTGAGCCTGAATTCTGACCCTCAGAGAATGGGAGTTTTAACTTGAATTTTAATGTTTTTCTTTTCCAGCTCTACTTTACAGTGCGTTTGGAGTTATCATTGAAAAAACACGAGGTGCAGAAGATGACCTGAACACCATAGCTGCTGGAACCTTGACAGGAATGCTATACAAAAGCACTGGTAGAGTAGCGAAATGTTTCTAGTTTTCCTCTTCTTGTGCTTTATCCTAGTTATTCTCATTACTTCTACTAAATGCTGTCCTGCTCTGAAAATTGGCAGTGTAAAAAATGGTACACAAGGAACATAGAACTAGAATGTAGGTTTTTTGCAGCTCCAGGTACTATCCCATGAATCTCTTGTAGTAATTTTCATCTTGATGCAGTCAAGCTGTGTTCTATATATTCCTCCCCCTACCCACCCTTTTCACTTTGGAAGGTAGGTCCCATTTGCCTGCATCCACTCGTAAACTTGAGAAACTCTCGGGTTTATTCCTGCTATACCTGAAAAACGTGGCTAACAATGAGCTGGGTTTGAATTTTATATAATCTAACTAAATCTGAGTAAACAACTGAGTGTTTATTCAGTGTGTAACAGACATAATTTGTCTCTCATGATTATTGTTGGTCCTGTGCAAGTGGGAAAGAATCCAGTTTAATTCAGCTGGCTTTTTTTTTCTTAATGCAAGTTTTCCTTAAGTAGTCTTAGCTGTTTGAAAAACAATATGTGGGTTAGGGAATATTGCAGTAATAGGTCTCAGTTATCTGCTAGATGCAATGCAGTCAAGTGTCTTTTTTCAGCTAATTGAAATACTTTTTTTAATCCAAAAATGAAAAAGCGTAAATTGATGCTGTCTGCTTCTGAAGTTAAGCAATAAAAACTAGAAATATTAAAATGAGATTACCTTCTCTAAGCCTAAATGAAACAGTGGTATTCATGCAGTACTAAGAAACTAATACATTTACAAAGTTACTACTTGGCTGTTTTTGAAACTGTTGTCTTGTGGTAGGACTCCAGTCTTTGCATAGTGGTCAAAACCAACAATGTTATTTGAGAACAGCATGGATTTAAGGTTCGTTTGCTGATGCATACTGAATTGTTTGCAGAAGAGAGGGTCTGAGCTTCATCAGCAAAATGCCTGTTAACACATATTCCAAGCTCAACAGTTGGAGGGATCATCTTTTTTAAAAGACTGCTGGGAACAAAGTATAAGTTTTAAGTACCTCAAGAAAGGTTTGGCTATATAATTCACTGACATTATTACAGATATCACTTAGATTATTACTAAAATTATCTCCTCAGTAAAATACAATTAACCTATGTACTTTTGTATCTCTAACTGAGCCTCAGTGTCTTAGAAGTGTTTCTGAAGGCCCCCTTTATTCATGGGGCTAAACAGTTTGAGAAGTCTTATTTTCCTGTTGGCCTAGACCAGTTGAAACCAGAAATAATTGTCTTAAGCAGCCTTCATAAATACTGGCTTGTGCACTTTACCTTGCAAGAGCATGTAGCTCTCTTGTAATCAACTCCTTATTTGGGATTTCATGACTGATTTGCCAGATCGTTAACAACAGCTGGATAGGGCAGCAGTACAGAAGCCTAACATTTTCTATAGGAAATTATAATTAAGGAGGAGAACTGCCATCTCACACTCCGGCAGAAGCTTCCCCTTTCCCTTCCAGAAGCATAGAGCTGACATTATGTGTAATGTGGTTTTTTTTGGCACGGTGCAGCCGTGGATAATTACTCCAGTCACATGCACAGTCATCTGAGGCTACAAAGAAACTCCTCACCAGCGCACAGCGGGACTTTTGTTTTATAACATGAGATCTACTGAGCTAATAGTAGCACTGATAAAGGTGAATTTAGTGAATCAGTCTGTACTCATTGCAGCATGCTGTTTCAGGTATGTGTCATGCACATGAACTGTAGTGCACAGAAGCTCAAAAGAAATACATTTTTCACCTTATACAGGAAATTTGAGTGGCACAGTAGACCTTAGAGGTCAAGGTTTAGTTCTGGAAGTGAAAAAGATGATATTCATATCTGTTTTCCTTTTATTCTTTGATGCTCTGTCCCTCTTGTTGCTTCTCCCATGCTTCCTTTCTTGTCATCTTACACCCAAATGCCCTTCCTAATTCTGTATGGTAAAGCTTCTCTCTGAGTTACGCCTTTACCCAGCATCAATATGTATTTACAAAAAAATCTTGAGTATTTTAGCCATATACAAATGATCAGTTCACACCTGTGACAGGTATCAAGATTGTAATAGTTTCCTGTGTTACACTGAATGCCATGTTGTGTTGGCATTAAAAAAGGAAAATCTGAAAGCCACTGGGGACATTTCTGTTATAAATGCCCCATATTTTAGCATCGTCTGGAAGCTCCCACAAACACGCCATGGTAAAATCAAGGCTGTTCTGTAATCCACAGTGGCTTGAGACAGAGTTGGAGGCAGTGCTGTTCATACACTCCCAATTTCCTGCTTCCATCATTCCTGTTTTGTAAAGAGATCAGGAACATATTTAAGAAGAAACTGCGTAAAGCGTGGCAGGATTTTTACTATGACTTTCTGGTTCACGTTTAAACATAGCACTGATGGAGGAATCACATCAGCAACCCTGAGGCACTGAAAAATACTCTTGAGTACTCTTCAAAGCCTAGACTGAATTTCTGAAACAAATTCTTAAGCCTTTGCTGAAAGGGATGAGTGGACAGGGACAAAAAATATTAGGAAGACTTTTTGAAGGCAAGATTTGTTGCCCCAAACTGGTCCCGGTTTTCATGATATGTCCTTTGTGGAGGTGTTAGTCATTACCACAATGTCAAACAAAAAGGGCTTTTCAAAATACCCACATTCAGAAGCCTTTGGGTTGTGAGCGGTTTTGTGCAAGGCTACTTAACACACAGCTGTGTGAGAGAAGATGAAAAAGTTTGCAGATGAGGTCTGTGGAAGTTCAGCCCTCTCAGTTCACTGGAAGTGGCACAATCACTGAGAGATCCCCAGTGTCTGACTGAAGCAGTTAAGTCCCCAAGACTTCTGATGGTCCTTGGAGAGAGTCAGACACCGACAACTTGATGTTACACACCAAGTGTCAGCTGGAGCCAGTCTGTGTGTTCTGTATGGCTCGGGTTAACAGATGTTGAACTGAGTGTGAAAGTTAAACTGATTTGAGGAGCTTTGAAACAGCTTACTAGTTGATCGCTTTGACCACAGTGCTCTCTAGTTTTCACATTTGTTTGAAATAAATTTAATTATAGGATTACTTATTAGATCTTAGACCAAATGTGAGTACAGTGTTAACTTGTTACACTAGACTTGCAACTCTGTGGAAGCTGCATTTTGAGCTCACAACTTAAACTGCATGTTCTGGGTACAAGTTGAGTGACAGATGAAAGAAATCCCTTTGTGTTCCTTTGCCAGTGGCACGCACAGTAGAAATGTTGCAACCTAGGCAATCCTATGAGTTTTGCTAAAAGGGAGCCTGATATCTTAAGTCCATGAGGGTGGCTTTTCCATCTAATAAGATACTATTCTTTGTTCCTCAACTTCAAGCAAAGGCAGAAATTGAGATCTGTTACGCCAAGTTTTTTCTGATAAATGTCGCTAAGCACAAATACTGACATATCTTAAAACAAGTGTTCAGCCCCCTTGCATGCGCTTCAGAACTATTTTCTAAATCAAGCCTCATTAGTTTGTTTTCTCATAGTTGTGTTAGTCTCTGAAAGTAGCAAAAAGCAAGAAGCTGATTGTCACTGTGCCTCATGTCACTGTGGTTCGTCATCACGTCACGAAGGTCCAGCTGCCCAAGGATCTTACACTCCTCCGGCATGCACCGCTCCGGAGAAAGATACTGAGCTGGGTGGGACTTTGGTCTGACCCAGCGTGACAGCCGTGAGTTTCTCATTGAAATTCCTGACAGAGGCTTCAGTAAGCAAAAAAGTTAAATAACCTTTGCCTCTTATCTGAGGGTTACGCAGGTTGTAGATGTTCTTTTTCTTAGATAATTTTTTTCCACTCTTGAGGTTAGGGAAAACAGGGCAGTTTTGTCCTGACAATTTTGTTTGCACAAACAAAGTTATTCTGTTTACTGTACTTCTGTGCAGTATGAACCCGGTGCTAGATAGAACGGCTCATGCCTTTTGCACAACAGACGTTACACAATTTGGTATAAGATGGTTTGCATCTGAAGAGAAGGGATTTGAATTACAGCAACAGCTGAAAGGAATAGATGTCACTTTAGGAACTCTGAACACAACCTTGAAAAGTCAATGCATTACGAATTATTTAAGGACTATATCTTTTATTGCTAGCAGTAAAGCCTAGCCAGAGCTAAAGATCACTTTTGTGACATTTGGTGGGTAGGAGTTCAGAGCAGTTGTGTTAGCTAATGAAAGCCTCCTCCCTTTGGGATCAATCTGTGTTCTTCTTTGGGCCAGGCAGGGGTTTTTTCTCGCTTCTGTTTTGTGGGAAGAGTGAAAGAAGATTTTTTCAGACTGCTGCAGGTATGGCCCTGGGACATTGAATTTTCTGCCTCATTTGCAGAGAAGCAAGTAAAATAATTTTCTTCTGAACTTGAAGTTCAGAGCTGTCAGACCCTTTGCAAATTAAAAACCGCTGTTAAAACCTGCTTTTAAAACAGCAGGTTTATAGGACTGCTAATCAGGTGGTGGTTAGTGAACAGATTTTGTTTCAGATCTGAAATAAGGAAGAGAGAAGGGCAAACTACAAACAGGCGCTACAAGTAACCGCTTGTTGAGGCTTGCTTTGTTACTTGAGAGCTGATGTCTCAGAATGTGCATGGCCACTGAAGGCAGTGCTGCCTTCTGCCCAGCTCCACTGAACAGAACAGGGAACTCAGTCCTCAGTGCTGCAGGGGTTCGCACCGTTTGCAGCAGCTGAAGCAGTCTGCTGTCCGTCAGGTGCTGCTGCTTTTGCTCACTGAGAAAACAGGAGTTTTATTAATGTTCACAAAGTAATTTTAACAGCTTTAATACTTCTAAACTTGTAAATTAAGCTACAGATTCTTTCTTTTCCAACTTAGCCTTCACACCACAGTAACTACAGGAAGTTTTTCCTGTTTCAAGCTTTGTTGTTTCTGTATTTTACCTGCAGTATTGTCTTGGCTGCAGCAGCACGAACGTGGGACGTGCTTTTCTGGAATGTATCTTTTTTCCAAAAGGATGTTTATAGTTTTCTGAGTAATTTTTGTACCTACAGATTTTGCCCACTGTTACAAGTTTTCATAAAATTACCCCCATGGAGCAGCAGTAAGAAACTCTTTGAATTTTCTATTGACATAGGACCACCCACAGACGTTCAAACAAACGTCTGCCTGATGATTCAGAGGGTCTGGTCAGCTGCCCCTGTGCTTGATCCTGGAGCAAAACTGAGGTTGCCTTACACATTTGAAAAGTCAAGCCCTTTCAACTGTTTTACATTATTTTTGCTCCTGGAAGCCCTGAAGGAAGACAGACTGCTTGCATTCTGAATATCTGGGGGAGAGAGATTGGAATACAGCAAACCAACTACAACTTCAATATTACACCTCTTTTGTTTGGAATAAACATGTGGCTCTGCGTTTTCAGTTAAGGTATTTCTGATGTTTGCTGTTGGGAAGTTCTTGCTTTAAACATCCCAGGAACTGTCCCAGGATACTGGAGTAACACATTCTGAAAAGAGGGACAGTAAGATCCTAAATGGAAGAGTCCTAAATGGAAAATAATGGGTTTAACTACTGTACAAGTCAAGTTCAGTGTTAGAGCATCGTGCCATGAAGATATGCAAAAAATAATATAAAAATACTCTAATGTTAGGTTTCAGAGTACACTGTGCAATGACACACATTTCCAATGAATAGAAGAGGGACAATATCTATGGTGAAAGGGTGCAGCAGCTAGAACTAAATTCTTATTTAGAGAGCATCAGATGTAGCTTTGGAAACCCATAGCAGTTCTCAACTATTGTGCAAGTTCCCTGATCTCAGAATACCTGCTTTCAGAAACGCCTGTCAGCTGGAACTTAAAACTTTATAACTTCAAGTTATCTTAGTCAGACATGCAAGATTAGAGGCTTCTGGCAAGGTTTGTCAAGGCAGTCGTGGTATCGGAGGCTGCAGAGGAGGGGTGGGAGCATGTTCTATCACACAGACACAGCTGGGATGGGAGTGGAGAACTTTGTACCTTTTTTTTAACAAGGTAATCTTCTCAGAGGGGTAAACGTTTCCTGCCCAGCAAGTGGGCTGCGTTCTGCAGTGTGTTACTGTGTGAAGTTTGCCCCAGAGCTGGATGTATTTATTGAAATGCAAACCCAACTGGTTAGGGAAAGGAAGGCTTTTTCTCTCCGTTTTTTTGTAAGGACTGTGGATAGTTCAGAAACCAGGTGCAACAGCTACAAAATAAATTACTAGTAAAATTTTGGAGCAGAGGTCTAGGGAACCTGTTAAGAAACATTTTGTAGATGTCTTCTTCTTGGATTTTTTTGCACCTGTGCCAACCGCACAAGTTTAGTTCCCATTTGTGAAACAGACTTCTGCTGAAACGCCTCCTTCAGCAAAGTCCAGGGGACCAGGGTTGTCTGCAGACTGCTTTGGGCCTGCTGGCTGACACTTTGTAAGTGGATTCAGAGCTGCCATCCTCACCTGACTGACCTCAGCACGTCAAAATGCTCCCATTTTTTGTGTTAGGTGCAGTGTGTCTTAGCACTGTGCCCAAGTCCACCACAGATGCTAGAAAGTGGCTCGTCTGTCCATATTAAAGAAGATACCTTTCTTGTACTGTCCTGACTGCACAGAATCCAGAACCAGGCTTGATCAGCCTTCAACCTACGTTTCTTCCATAGGAGGACTAGGATTTTGAGGAGAAAGGAGAGGAATTGAACTTGGAGACTGAGGGAAGAGTCTATGAGAACAGTCCTAGCTCTGTACTGCGCTGTGTTCTGTGAGGATGTTCCGGGTTCTGTGCATTTCCCTGTACCCCAGAATGGTGAGGAGCCTTCCTTGGGGTCGTCTTCTGTGAGCAATTGCTTCCTAATGTGAACAGCAGAAAAGCAGGCTCTAATGTTTTATTCATTTTTCCCAAAAGTAACGAGGAGTTGGTATTTTTACAGACTATCTCAAATATTGGTTTTGCACAAAGTGTCCTTTAAATTTCACCTGTGGCTTTTTGCCAGAAGCTGCTCACACATGGTTAGTTCTGTGTACCCAGCTGCAACCCCTTCATGTGAAAAGCTTTTTGTGCAACCTACTCAGGATGAATTATCAAACATAGAAGTCTACATTCGCATTCCTAAATCCTGATTTAGACACATAAAGGCATAGGCAGTGTGGCTTTCCCTAGAGCTGTTGAGTTCTCGACAGTGAACTCAAACTCACGTCCAAAAAAAACTATTGAATCATCACAGCTAGCCTGGCAATAAAATTTCTAGAAACTCTGGCTCCAGTACCAAGTCCAGCTTCTGCTGTCACTTCTGCACCTTCTCGGTTTCATTACGTGCCAGCCAGTGTGGGTGCCATTGAAGTCTGTTTGATCTTGCAGTACAAGTAATGCCATCTCGGTCTGGCTGATACCAACAGCTCCTTGCCCCATTACAAGCCTAAATGCAATTCTATGAGACAGCTTTATGACCCATAATAGAAAAAAAAATAAAATATCACTGATTACTGAGGTGCATTTCCTTTGAAGTTTGAGGAACCTGAATTCCACTGTCAGTTTTACCAAGAAAGTAAGCAAAAACTGGCCGTGTTCTGTATACTGTGCACATTGTGTTCTTGCTTCAGCTGGGATTGATGAACATTGCAGAATCAAACTCAGGGAAGATTTCCTGGTGTTGGGGGTCACACTCTCAGGTGTTCCTGTGCATTTATGGTGCATTCTGGGAGGTTTACCGGGGCACTTTGTGCCTCTGAGGCGTAGAAACACTCTGGTGTTCAGTAAAAGCAGCAGAGGTCCCTACTCCTGCCCCTGTTCACCACAACCCTCACATGGTGGAATGGAGCTGTGATGCTGCCTGACACCCAGCTCCAGCCAGGTGTGCTGGCTGCCAGTAGGAGCCAGACTTGCCCTGTGTTTTCACCTTGACAACCTGCAGAACATACAGGTCTTGAATGAGAAGTTAAAAAAAAAATCACCTCTGTGACTCAGTTTTTTGCCATTGCAAAATTATAATTTTGAAGATTCCAATATGTAAGAGTAAATTCTTCCCAGTTGGTCCCTTTCATCTACTTTTCAGTTATTTTTTTTTCAAAAGTCTAAAGACACAGAAGTTCTGCGTGATGACCCTCGTGGATCTCTGGTGCCCAAGGTCCCTATCAGCTGCTGTTGTGTTCACTTATTTCCCTCCTGCCCTTTCTCCTCCCCCCCAGACTTCATTACCATAACTGACAAACATCATTATTATTCCTTTTCCAAAATCCTAAACAGAGTTCTTAAAGCAGGAAGGGATCGTATCAGTCCATAAACGCCTGGGTTGAGGACAGCTGCAATAGATAGAGTAGGACTTGGGAAAAGCCATCTTGACTTCGAGTGTTCTGTAGTGGTTCACTCAGTTACGGATTTTAACTTCTCAGAAGTAGTTCGAGAGGGAGTCGTACCAGCACAATTGGTGTCAGGATCAGGAATGACCTTTCTCGAGCCTGGCAGCAGGTTCGAGATGGGGTAGAATTAGTACAAGTACCTTTCTGGAAAGTTATGAAAAAAAACCAAACTGTGTTTCCTTAAGATACCTCTGAATTTGAACAGCTTCTTCAAAGTTGCTGTAGCTGACCATTTCCTTGGATGTAACTTGAATGGGTTTCAATCTGTTTCTCTTTTCCAGGTGGACTGCGTGGGATAGCACGAGGTGGTATTGCAGGTCTGACGCTCACTGGCCTCTATGCTCTTTATAACAACTGGGAGCACATGAAGAACTCCATATCCCGGCAGTCTCTCTGAGCAGGACAGCCAGCGCTGGACAGAGGACGCGCCTGCACAGTCACCAATCCAATCACTTGCGAGATCTGTCTGGTGCCCCTTCCTCTTTTATTTACAATTAGTGTGAAACTGAAAAAAGCTATGCTGGGAGGAACTTTTTGACAGCATGTAGCTGGACTGGCCCTTTCCTTCATGCCAGCCGGTCACTGGAGAGGCAGCAATACTTGTTGGACCTGCAGGTGAGCAGAGTGGCCGCCGAGGTAGGATGTCCCCAGCACGCTCATCAGCTAGCTCAGGGCCAGAGCTGCAAGGCTTGCCCAAGTCCCATAGCTGTACCTGCTGTGCTGCCAGGTCTGTTCACTTGTGTGTACCACGATAGTGCTGCGTAATAAAGTCTGTGTCCACAGGGCTTTCTCTGCAGTCTGTCAACCTGCACCAGGCGGCCAGAGCCTGAACGGGCACAGGGCAAGCTGTAAAAAGGGACATCGTCATCAATAAAAAGGGTGGTACTTCTGCAGTGCCTTTCTGTGCTTTGCTGTTCCTACTGCTGATAAGACACAAATGCACCGCATCCAGTGACTGCTGTTTACAGCTCTGTTTTGAAGGTCTGATGTGATAAACTCCTGGGGGAGTCGGTGGGTGCAGGGAGGTGAACCAGCAGGCTGATGGTCTGGTGTGAGGTGATGGTGAGGCTCACAGGGGCTGACTCCACTCCCTTACTTGCTCTAATAAATAAGGAACTGGTTGTTTCTGGGTGAGGTACAGCTGCTGTGGCAGAACAGCCACCGCTGAATTATCAAAACACTTGGGTGCTCCAGGATCTCAGAATTTGTTGAGCCAACAGTGAGAAACCAAGCAGTATAAATACGCCTCTCATTCCCCATTACAGGATTTCTAATTAGTGATGAGTTTTTTTCCCCCAAGTAGTGTTTGTAGGTTGTTGGCAGAACAAATTGATGTGATGAACCTACACCTTCCCCAGTGTTAATTAAATGATGTACCCAGCATTATTTGCAGATTAAACAGCAAGTTGTGAATTAGTTCAGTAATCACAGTTACTGTACCATGGCTCATTCTTTCAGTTTTTAAAGTCTGTAAATAATTAAACAGGTCTGAGACCACGTGAAGGCAGAGCAAGGGAGAACAAGAAACTTGCTTCTCAGCAGACAACTTAATGCAAACCAAGAGTTCAGTTTGCTGGAATTGTCCCTGTTGGA